CTGTTAAAACGCAAATTGACAAAAAGTGGATAATCTTACAAATTCTGACTTTATATAATAAGTTATTGTTCAAGTACTGGGTGTTTTTTTTTATATATTGACACCACACCTACAGCCTTCACCTTTACAAGTAGATGAAAGGTGTAAGTACAAAAGTTGTACAGTAGGTATTAGCTAAATTTTCAGAATCCGTAGCCAGAAACAAAAATTGAATGTCAGAAATGTGAAATGTTACATGCTTTCAGCTTTTTTCAAATGGGATGCCCTATATTTGGTTCTATATTCTTGAAGAGCACAATTTCCACATTTCTGACATTCAAATATTGTCTCAGAACATGGTTTCTAAAAATTCAGCCAAAACTATACAACTTTTGTACTATTTATACCTTTCTTCTGCCTGTAAAGGTAAAGGCTGTAGGTGGGGTGTCAATATATAAAAAAAAACACCCTGTATATTCTAGAAACTCGGTTAATACGGGGTATGGACGGATAATCAGGATTTTTGGGTCTTTAGACTGGTTCGGTTAATCCAGAGCTCGGATAAATGCGACTCGGATAATCGGGGTTCTACTGTAGGTATTTGTGTTCTACTTTATTAAAAACCGTAAGTACCTATAGTATTTTTTTAATATAACTATTATATAGGTATACTTTGAATTTTTACTTAACAGTTTCGCCCACCTGCAAATGTAAACTCACTAGAATTTGAACATTGCCAGAGGTAACTTAATCTTGACTTGAGACGACACGACAGTCGACTATATATCTTGACATTATTAATATTACTTTGGCAATACAATGTATAACTGTCAATGAGGTGGGATTTTTACATGGGAAAATCTTGTGTTGCCAACATAACACCTAATGTCAGTTATTTCTAAAAAAAAATAGACTCTAGTAATCGCAGTTAATTAATTGATGTACTTAATATAGATCCCTATAACACTTCAGCATAAATTTTTTTTTAGATTATTCTCTGACTATGGATCATTATTTTTAAAACTATCGTAAAAAAAAGTAATGCCTTCACGCATATTTCATCCTTTATTTCTTTAAAACTTCTGGATCGAGACAAGTGCACATCGGTGTCAAGTTACACGTAGGCGAGGTGACAAAAAAACGAGCTGGCCACGTGCAATCTTCCAATGGGGATTCGAGCCTGATGCTATTAAGGAGAGAGAATGTCATTAACATTTGGTTAATAAATTTGTTTTGTTTAGACCTGTCTTTATAACGGTTGTTTTTTTTAAATTTAAAATCACATTTACATAGAAGTACAAACAACAAAGTGTTTTGATAAAATCATAAACAAGACAATTATAGTTATTTTGATAATCTTCTTTGCAAAAACTTAATTTGAGACCAAATATCGAATATGGATGAAGTTATAGTTCTGTTTTCTATTTCTACTTGAAACTTTGCACTTATACTGGCGGGGTATTAGTATCAAGGTACATACATATACACTGTGTCCGTAAAGTAACGGATAAATTCATTATTTTGAAAACGTTAGAATTTTTGAAAAATCGCCCAGACACGTCAATTTTGTTTTTTTGTTTGAAATTTTTTGATATATTTTTCATTATACAGGGTGTCTCAAAAATAGCTCCGCTGCTATCAACTTTGTTTTTTCAAATAGATCAACCTGTATATTATGACATTTATGGATTCTGCGGGAAATTTTTGACATATTTCATGCACAATGTCATATACCTATCTTCAACTGTTTCGGAAATATTGACAGTTGATAATTGATTTTTTTGCAACTTTGACAGGCTGTAAAACCTGAACGGTTAATTTTAGAAGAAAACCGATTTTACATTCTTATCTTAGATTTTCATAGACTATCATTTGACACCAACTTTGAATTTATCCGGAGATTAAATTTAACCGGAATTTTTAATCACAGATTACCTTGAAAGTTGGTGTCAAATGATAGTTTATGAAAATCTAAGATAGGAATGTAAAATCCGTTTTCTTCTAAAATTAACCGTTCAGGTTTTACAGCCTGTCAAAGTTGCAAAAAAATCAATTTTGAACTGTCAATATTTCCAAAACAGTTGAAGATAGGTATATGACATTATACATGAAATATATCAAAAATTTCCCGCAGAATCCATAAAGGTCATAATATACAGGCTGATCCATTTGAAAAAACAAAGTTGATAGCAGCTGAGCTATTTTTCAGACACCCTGTATAATGAAAAATATATCAAAAAATTTCAAACAAAAAAATAAAATTGACGTATCTGAGCGATTTTTCAAAAATTCTACCGTTTTCAAAATAATGAATTTATCCGTTACTTTACGGACACACTGTATAGGTATCTATCAACGTCAATGGTTAATTGACGTTTTCAATTAAAAGAGATGGACGATAAAGTATGAAAACATTCAGATTCCCGCCAATATTTACTTGCTCGTCAATGTCAAGTGTATAGGGTGTTTAGCAATCCCCCGGTTTTTATTCTAATCGGTGACTCCACCGATGAGTTAGGTATCTTTTTTCAGTGAATGGAAAATGACAATGACCGACATAGAATGATGAAATTTGAAATTGGAAAAAAAATAAGGGAAGCAAACAGCTTCCGCAAACTAAAGTTGCACGTGGATTTCTTTGTAACTTGATGCAAAGTCTTGATGGGCCGTGAATTTCCCTTTCTTTTGCGAGTATCCGTTCTGATTTTGTGTATCCAAATTTTGACAAATGTAGGATTTGATAAAAACTTATGGAAAGACACATCCGCCGGTGAATAGGAATTATTTTCACGAAAAAGCACACTACACAAAATCACTATTATTAGGAAAAAACCTTGAAAAAACCGAGGAAATAATAGTTTCCACTCTCACACCTATAAAAGTCTTGTCAACAAACCACTGTCAATAGCTGTCAATCATTGTTTTCATACTCTTTTGGCGTCTGACAGTCTGACGCCAGAGAGAGAGGCTTCCATAGAAGAGGCTTCTAAATTGAAAAGGTCAATTGAAAACTTCAAAACTTCAGTTCATAAGTTGAAATATCCTCGAATTCCTCGGATTTAGCCTAGAGGTTATTTGTCTTGACTTATTTTCCGGGATCACTTTTTTTAGGACTCCTTGCATAAACGTCTTTTCCGATTGAAAATGTTAAAATGAAGATTTTAGAACAAAGACTCTGCTGATTTAAAGACCTATAATGTGACTTAAACCTCTGAATAATCTACAAACGCAAAAAATCCAGACTTGAAAGATATAGGATTTATGAGGCTCTTGATTGATTTGAAGCCTTTGTCTTTTTCCAAAAAAACTACACTAAGGATTTGTGTATCTAAGACCTGAAACTAACAACGCTTTTGATGCACTTAAAGACCCCCCTCCAATTTTCGGATACCTATAGTCTACCAAATATCTTAAATATCTTAATATTTGATTTAAGACTGGAGATTTTAAAGAAACAACACTGAAGATTCTGAAGCAAGTTTTGACCAAAGTTGATCAGTGCGGAGCTCAAATAAGTAGGTACAAGTTGCTTCTTTTTCTTCGTAGAAACATATACCTCCACACATTTTTGCCAGAGGGAATGTGAATGTTGTTATGTAACTCGTATGGTAATTAATACACCCGCCTTGTTCTTGGATTTGCCAACACAAAAAAGACCGGCTTCTTTTATTATACTTTCATCTCTATGACTTTCATGTGCATGTGAAGTAAAACACCGCTGTGCAGTTCCCGTCTAATATTTCATTTTAATGCCCTTTTTCTAGGATGAACACATTTATTTCTAGCTACAGCTGCGAATAACTATACTTACATTATACGTATTTTGTTGTTTTCTGATGTGTTGTTATGTTGTGTAAGAGAGATTTTTTCCAAAGTAGGTTATTGATAACTATTCAAGATGGAGAGCCAAAAGACTATATAACTAATAAATTACAAAACTTAAAAAGTAGGCATATAAAGTTATTACTTCATCATTTCTTCGTAAGATATAGGTACATTTATGTCACCAATAACCACCTAATTATGTGGTTTTTACAAGAAAACATCATACTTTTAGACATATTGCACCAAATTACTTCATTTTAGGATTACATAAATTTGAGAAAATGTCGTCGATATTATATTACAAGTCATCGCGTAAGTGCAAGATGTGTTGATATTTATAGAACAAAATTCTCCCCTACATTACGCATCCAACCAAAAAAACCAAGACCTTATACAACAGCTACATAGCAACAACACGTGTTCGGCGAGTTGAAAAAAAATAATGCCTCGGTTTTTAAGAGAGTTATGAATTATCTGTATATTATTTTTCATTTCGGTAAGACAGCTGTGTTGATGCTCCATTGTTTTTTAGGACGGCTCGCGACCTGTTTTTAGATTATTCGGTGCGGGAGACAAAACCATATAAAGTGTGAAAGAAATATTTAAAGACTAAAAGGTGTATATAAAAAAGTAAGCACGTGCTCTCCTTTGATCCTATATATTCTATTAGTAAAAGTTTGATTTTGAGATGAGTATTGCATGAATAGAATAATGGAAGACTTAAAATTCAGATTTTATTAAATTGACTTTAGACCTCATCAAATCTTCAGTAGAAGGCTTTAAAAACTAAGAACCTTAAAATTTGTGAAGTCTTGCTTGGACCTTAAGTCAGGGGAGACTCTTCAATTATTCTGAGATCATTGTAAGAATCACTGAATAATTTGAATTTGAATACTTTTCACTAGTCTTCAGTAATGTTAATTAGGTAATGAAGCTCGAGACATTTTGTAGTCTTTTAGACTTCCAGAGTCTATGTATCCAAAAATGTCCAGGTAAAACTCTAGTTAAAACTTGTCGAACTTAAACTGTTTTTAAAAGACAGGTAAGATCTGACTCTGACCAAATGTTGTGTCAAATAATATTGAAGAGATTTGGAAAGAGTGAATGAGAATTCCAGTCTGGATTCCAGAACATAATGAAATCCCTACTGAATTAATATTCGACAATACTTCATTTGATTCAAAGCACCAACTAAAATACAATTAACTTTTTATAATTTTTATTTATTTTTTCAATTAGATTATGATAATCTAGTTTTACATTAAACTTTAATAATTTACAAAATTACAATACCTCTTCGATGTAAAAAAAAAATAATATAAATCTTAAACTAATCTTAAATAATATATAGGATTCAGTTTAAAATTATGAGCATTGGTATCAGTAATTACACCTTTTTCTGAAAATAGTAAATATAAATTAATATTGAAAAGTAAAGATTTTATGAGTTTATGCTTACTGATGGTCTGTCTTTGCTATAGGCTTCTGTACAAACGTTACCGGCAGTCCATGGATTCACTAGTTTACATTCACAGTCCAGACCTTGCTCAAGATTTACAAGCTGGTCAGCAATATTGGTTGCTGCCAATCGGGTGTATTGTTTTTGTTCGGCATCTGACAAACCTAAGAAGTTGTTGTTGACGAAAGCATTACCACGATTCTAGAAAATTAAAAATATTATTAATGTGATTCAGTTTTACAAATGATTTGTAACCGACCTTAAGAGTGAAGTCTACACAGTAGTCGTCATAGTTAAGTTCCTTGTGAAGCTCAGCAGTTCCTTTTGGACTCTTTTTGGCTTGGCTTAGGGTAAAGACGTTTTCTTGGTTGAAACCAACAATGTCTTTGGATTTCTTAGCATCCTTGATGGTTAAAGATTCAAACGGAGTGAACAAGTTCAAAGAAATTTGGTTGTTCTTGTAGATGTTGGCGAAAAGTTTTTGAAGCTATAAAAAAATAATTTTAATAATATTAATAATTGGAGAGTTTCATTCAGAAATATTGCTACTTACATGATAGAATCTACCAACCTCGCATTGTTTACTGTTAACAACAATGATAGATTTCAAGGCATTGACTCTGAATGGATATTTGGAAGCGATATCAAAAGTCCGGGCTTTCAAATTCAAGCCACTAGCCAAGCTAAGATCGTGAAGTAGACTCTTCAAATCTTCAACAAACTGTTTAGTTTGTGGATCAGTAATCTTGTCCAAACCGTTGTGTGGTTTTGGTTCTTCGTCGAAAGTCAAGGCTGGCGCTCTACCCTTGAAGGTAAGTTTTCCATTGACTGTTACGTGACTGGGCCATTGGTTCAAGCCTCCATAAGTAATTAAATGGAATTCGATATCTCTAATTCCTTTGTTGTGCAATTCGGTGGTGATTTCTGGTACGAGAGTCTTCACGAGTTTGTCGTAAAGCGCTTGATTGGATTTTTCGGTTTCAACTACCAAAACGATATCTGCTGACTTGGAGGGTAGTTTTACACTGAAAGTGTCTCCTACGTTGTAAGTTTTATCACTGTTAGTACATTGGACAAGACGTTCTGGTGTGTGCACAAGAATGTTTCTTTCCTGGCATGCAGCAACGTAAGCTTTAGCAATAGCTTCTTCGGTTCCCTTTACTTTGGCAGCCATGCCATGGTTGCAAGCCATTTTAAAGTTTTCATTTGGCACGAAAGGATAGCAGAGAGCCAAATCAGATTCCCAGTTGAACAGTTTAGTGCAAGCGGGATCGTCAGAAACAGATTCGTGTTTAGGTACGGCGACATCAGGGCAAGAAGAAGACATTTTGTAGGCGTTACCGAACTGTCCTTCAGCGGTGACGATTTTTCCGTTGGGAATGGTCAAATCATCGTAAGGTTCCTTGTTACCGTTACCCAAAAGACCTCTGACTTGTCCGTGATAGAATCCGGATATTTTCACTGAGCAACCCAACAAATCTGGGGTGCAAATAACTGTTACTCCAGCGGTAGATAAAAGAGTGACGATTTCGTAGTCTCTCCATGCGGCCAAGTTTGTTTTACGGTAAGGTAAATCGACAGCATCTGAAAAGAATGATAATATTTATTTGTATAAAATTTTTAGACCTAATGTTACCTTGTCCTGATTTAACTTTTCCTCCACTAACAAGAGTGATCGAACCTTCTTTATCGGCTAAAGTAATTGAAGCCAAAATTCCATCTTTGTAAGAACCAGCCAAGGTGAAGTTTCCATTAACAGCGTCTCTGGCTAACAGGTAGTTGCATTTTCCTGGGAAGGTCAAGTGTTTTCCATCAAAAGTGAATAGATGTTGTCCTTGGATAACGAGACCAAACAATGGGAATGGTGGTAACAAGTTCTTAGGAGAATCGAACAAACTCCAAAGTAGCTTATCGATTTCAGCAGATGGTTGATCCAAAAGGTAAGAGATTGGAGAGAATTTCACAGCGGCAAGACGTGGTAAGTGTTTCAAGAAGTTAAGCGGCAACATGCTGGAGTCCAATTGGGCTGATCCTGGCATTTGCAACTGTTCGGATTTTATAAGGGCGAGTAATTTTTTGATGATGGTAGAGACTTCTCTTACAATTTCTTCGAGGGCAGCTCTATCGTCGACAGGTTGATTTTTGAGCTTCTTTTCAGCGTATGAAGTAATGTCATCCAAAAGCTTGCTAATATCATCCCTAACAATAAATTCTGGTGGAATAGCGTCCTTAATGGTAATGAAAATTTCTCTAATAGTTCCAATGATGGCATCAGCACTGGGAATACCTTCCTTGAGGAATTGTTCATATTGAGCTCTGAGTTCTTCAATGAAAGGTGATGCTCTTAGTTCATTCGTGATTCTGTCCAATACGGACCTGATATTTTCGCTGGCATTTTCATAGGCTTTGTAGATGACTCTACCAATGTCACGGAACACTTCACCGAAAGCTGCGACAATTTCTTGGAATTCTGGTTGGTATTGTTCAATAATTTGAGAGGCTCTAGCTAGTAGACCCAAACTAATGTCCACGGCAGTTTCCAAAATTTGTTTGGTTATTGCCAATCCTTTGGCGCCAAGTTCTTTGAGTTCTGGCAGAAGCGATTTGTCAATTGAGTCTACGATTCCGTTGAAAGAGTTTTGCAATACTACAGCTGATTCTTCGGCCAAATGGCTGAGTTTCTCGAAAAGTTCTGATACAGCTGCAATAAGGGATCCTAATACTTTATGTGCCGATTCGCTCAATTCTTTCACACTCTTGTCATTCAGAATTTCTTCTCTGAGCTCTTGTAATTCTTTGGTGTAATATTGACGGAGGGGTTGTATGTTTGCAGATGATTTCTTAGCTATTTCGCTAACGGCTTGAGCCTCTTGTCTGGCTTGCTCGGACCATTCCTTGCTCAATTGTTCCAAACCGTTCAAGTAAGCAGTGGCACGTTCCTTCACTTTTTGTAGTGTCGCTTCGATAGCTTTAGAGTCAACTTTCTGTTCTGATTTCAAGAAGTTGGCATCGTCAAGCTTGATGCTGGCGTAGAACAGGTTCACTTTATTGCCGCCATCTTGCATTTCACCACGCACATCGGCAATTTGACCAGGAATTAATCCAGCGTTGAATAAAAGCCTCTTTTGGGGTTCATCTGCAAAAAAGTTAAGTTTATTTAGCATTATTATTTATGGTTTTCACTCGAAACTTACTTTTGTATCCCAAACTGTAAGCCAAGGTGTTCAAGTTTTTGATTTCCAATTTGCTTACTAAAGGTTTGTTGTCGTAAGACGAAACTTCGGATTCGAAAGTTTGTTCGTTGTCTTTAATTTGACTCCTGTGATGTCCTTTGAGTAAAACTTTGTTGAACAATTTGAGTTCACCAGACACTTCGGTAGGTGTCATTTTGGTTGAGACCAAGTTTTCGTATTTGGATTTACCGGCTTGGTAACTGGATTTGTGTTCATAGGAGAATTCCTGCAAATAAAATAATCCATGAGTAAAACGGTATAGAACGTATGAATATTGTCAACTCACTTTCTTGTTTCTATCTCCAATGGCGATTTCATTTGAACGAATATCAATTCCAAGGCCGGTGCTCTGAAGTGTGAAGGTTTCCTTTGCGGTACCTCTTGAATGGTCTTTGTCAAGGGTAACAGATTTGTGGAATTGGGCAATGAGTTTCTGGTTGGCTTGAGCGAATACGTCTAGTTCACCACTAACGTCCAATTTGCCATTGTATGGAGTTCCGTCTCTTGTGGCCGTGAAAGAGGCACTTAGAGGCTGAAAGTTATTGTTTATAATTATCGATTTATCGTGATTAAAATTGTTTACTTACTTTGGTAAGTCCAGGATGGGTGAATTTAGCGTCCCCACTGATCCTGCCCTTAAGATTAACATCAATAGCCCAGGTGAGAGCGGTTTTCTTATTGGGATGGTTCTTTTTGTCCATGAAAAAGCTGATTTCTCCGCTGCCTTTACCACCATCTTTGAGGTTCTTTGGTAGTTGGTTCTTAGCTTCGAGCGCAACAATTCTTTTGGGGGTGGCTAGACTGATACCAGCTTCGCTGGGGTGAACGTAGAAGCTGTATTGGTACTTGCTGTTTTCGTTGTTCTGGAAATGAGCGTCGACGGTGTGGTCAATTACCCAATGTTTCCTGGTGGTCACGGATTTTAGGCCGAATTCATGGGAGAGACCCAATTTGCGGAGATCTAAGTTGATTTCGAGAACTTGGTCGTAGTTTTCAGCGTCTGGAAAAGTAGGTAATATTGAGAAATTTTACAAAAATAGCGTAGGTAATTCAAAACAAGTGACGTAAATAAATATATTAAACTTACCATTTGCATTAATCTTATTGTCAACTTCAAAGTAAGCACACTCCTTCTTCTGCTCGCAATAAGAGTTTTGCAATCTGAAATGTTTGTTGGTCAACTTGTACTCAGAGTCTACTGCCTTGCTACCAATGGCAGCGTCAAAAGAGATTTGTACTCCTTGTTCGCCGTTCTTTTGTTGGTCCAATTGTTCAATAATGTATTTGAAGTTACCAGACTTAGATTCATCCTTTACTTTGAAGTTTCCGTGTCCGTCGATGATGAATTTGCCGTTTTCTTCTTTAGCGGCATAGTTTAGGTTACCGGAAATGTAATTTTTGCCGGCAGTCTTAACAGAGACTTGCATTTTGCGGTCACCGTTACCCCCTTTGTTGTGCGCTTCGTATTCGATTTTGTCCAGGTTCAATTTGGGAGAGTTGACTTGTCCCTTGACGATGAGATTTTCTACATCTTCGACGTTGACGGCTCCTGAGCTCTCGTAAATGAAATCGTTTTGTTCGTCGATAAGCTTAACTGCACCATCGAATTGTCTGTTGCTGATTTTGTTGGCTTTAAAGTAAAGTTGTTTGACTTTTCCTTCTGGAGTTGTTAGTTTAAAATCAATAAGAGGTGAAATATCGCTGATTATTAATTCAGAGTTAGTCTTCCAGGTTTTGCCATCTACGACGAGTACAACGTCGCTTACTGCATGATTTTCCTTAACTCGTTTGGTATTTACGGTCATTTGGCTACTCTTGTAACCCTCAATTGGAGTCTGCATAGCTAAGACAAGTTTATATTGGTGTTCAGCTAATCTATCGAGAGCAACGTCATATTTAACTGTTTGTCCTTTGCCATAATTAACAGTGACACTACTAGAACCTCCTTGTTGGTTTTCTTTGAGATCATAAGATCCAGTTACATCAATGGGCTCAATTTTATTCAAAGCCAAGTTCAATTTAAGCTGACCTGCTTGAGGAGACACAGTCACTTTACCTCTGGATTTCAAATCGACAATAGGGCCTTGATCATTATTAGCCTGCACATTTACGCTTCCTTCAACACTAACCGGTGCATTTGGATCTTCTTGCTTGACAACATTTCCGTCTAAATCAACATTCAAAGATCTGAGTTGAGGATGTTCTGAAGCGACTTGCAAATTCATCTTTCCTTTTTTTGTTGGTCCAGAAAAGTCGTGGTTACCTCTAAGGTGTACAGTGTTCGCTTGACCATAGCTACTGCGCACTTCGTAATCGCTTACGATGCCTCTCTTGCAATGGCCGACCATGCTTATTTCATAGGGTTGCCTTAAAAGACTGCCACTGACTTTGTTGACTAAATTAAGGCTACGATCATCGCCATTTTTAGAGGATTTAACGGAAATGTCAGCGTTAATGTTTTTGCCATTACCATCAGCAGACATATTGATGTCTACATCACCAACACCTTCATCCATGTTGGCATTTTTCCAAGTAGTCTTGTATGCGTATTTACGTCCTGTCGAATTTTTATTCTTCCTGTATTCAATACTTGATTGTTGTTGTCCGCTGGATAAATCGTCATGGCCTTCATGTTGGCAACTGGATTTAGCTAACAGATATTGTTCGCCAGGAAGTGTCACTTCTAATTCACCATCGATTTTGCCAGTTTGTCTGTCTCCGCTTCTGGATCCCTTAAGATTAACTTCCAACGGATGTCCCAGGATATCAACTTTGTTTTTGGAATCCAAGCTACTTTCAGAGACCTTGGTGTTGGTGCTCAAAACAATCTTCATATTTTTGTCTTTGTTGAATGATGGATAGAGTGTAGCTGTAATGTCATAGACATGGGCTGGTTGAATAGTGAAAGTTGTATCAGCTTTAATTTGACGTTTTCCATTTTGGAGATCGACTAGAATTTCACCATTGCCGGCACCGTTGTTGGAGTGAATTTGTCCATTAACGTTCAATTTGTTTTTAAGGTTAATCTTCAAGCTTCCATTTGCGTTGCCTTTTTTGTTTGCTTTCAAAAATGCATCAATAATATGTTCGTTTCCAGAACTGATTTTAACATGGGAATCGAGTTCTCCTTCATTAACAATCAATCCAGTGTTGACTTTAATTGGAGCTGCCTGAGATGGAAGGCTTACAGTCAAATCGGTTCCCAAATCAACGTTATGGGCTCTCAAATTGTGTCTGATTTTACCTTCAACTTCAAACTTCTTGCCGTTAACTTCAAGTGTATTGGAAATTTTGCTTTCCTCGTTAGGCATCACTTCTCTTCTCGATTTGATTTCCAACTTGTTATCCAATCCCCATAGGTCAAATTCAATTTCATAGTCACCTTGAGATTTCTTATTAATTTGAGCTTCCAATTCTGAACCTAATTTCAATTCTCCGTATTCGGCGTTGACTTCATAGTCCAGACTGTTTGGTGTTTGTTCAAGTTCAAATTTGCCGCTAACGGACAATAAAGGATAGCTAAAACTGTTTTTGGTTTCGAAACTAAAATCACTGGGGCTTTTGTATTTGTTCACCAAATGATGACTGATAGTGAGGATTGAGGATTTTGAGTTTAGATCGGCTCCGTGGATTAGTTGCAAGGAAGCGTCATGCATGGAAGCTTGTCTTTTGAACTCGCCTTTCAAGTTGAAATTGGCGTTATTGTTGAAAGTGTTTTCTACTTTGATGTTAAATTTGATTAAATCGGGAGAAAGTTGAACGCGACCTTCGACGTCAACCTTATTTGCTTCATTGGATACAACAAGATCTGTGAAGAAAACGCCGTTTGCGTCTCTGCCAAGGTTGCCGTTGAGTCCAAGAGAAGTTTTTCCGTCAGTTACTTTAACGTTTTCGAATATGAGTTTAACCTGTTGACCGTTTTGTTCCACGACGATTTGACCTTCAGTACTGATGGGCAACTGCTGTTGACCTGCTGGTGTTTTGTATTCCAGGAGAGGTTTGTAGACGGCACGTTCAGGAGTTCCGGAAATTGAGTAACCGATCTTGCCAGAGTATGTCTCTTGATCGTTTTGGAGCTAAAAATGATTATCATTTATTTGAAATGTTTTTGTAAATTTTGATTGCTTACCTTAAGAAGAAGAGATTTTTCCACGTTGGTACTAACAATTCTAGCTTCAGCTTGGGCAGTTTTGATGGGTGAACTGAATATAGCCCTGATGAATTTTTCGGGGGAGATTTCAGTTTGCACAGCCAAAGAAACTTTCTTTTGATTATTTTTGCCGATGGTCTCCAAAACAAAATCTGCGTGAGACTGTGTATAATCGTGACGGATATGGAATTCAGAAACGTCTTCATTTTCAATGGATACTGCGAATCTGGCATCTCCGGCCAATGGGAATGGAAGAATTGGAATTTGTTGACCTCCTACGTTGGGTCCGTTGATTTCAGCGCAGAAAGTTAGGCCAATGAAGGGGCTTAGTTGATCGAAGCAGATAGAGAAGTCTTTAACTTGAGTGAATTTCAATGGTAATCCTACTTCTTTCTTAGCTGGTTCTCTGGTGATGAAAACAATTTCGTGATTGGCAGAAATAAGTTTTTGCTCTTGCACTGGAAGTCCGAATTTCAAGTCGAATCCAGACTGTTTGTTCCAGGTTGCGCGCAAATCTCCTCCAGTAGAAGAGTAGAGAGTGGAAACGACCTTCAAACCATTTTCAATAACGAGAGAGTCCAAAGTCAAACGTGCGGCTACTTCGATGTTAGCACTAGGAATTAGTTTAATTCTCAATTCTCCTTGATCGGGATTGTTAAGTAGTTTACGTACATCAACGTTGCCTTCGGCTTTAATTTGAATGTTGGCAGTTCCTTCGACAGCAAGGCGAAGAGGGAAACCGAGTGAAGTTGGATAGTCGAATTCGGCATCCAAGAAATTGTGATTGTGACGTAAAGTTTCTTCGAACCGCTGAAGTCCATCTAAGCCTTTAACTAGTTGGGCAACGATTTTGTCAATAATAGCTTCTGGTTGGATTTTAGCTTCTTGGTTGATGTTCAGGAAAAGCACTTCCGCGCCAAAAGCTCTCAGGCTCAAGTCCAAGTCGAGATCCTTATTCAACTCATTAGTTTTGATTTGCACGTGTTTGGCAACTTGGTCGAGCTCAGCTTTGCTTACGTCACGTTTGCTTCTCAAACTGGATTTTAGTTTTTGTTCTACATATTCTGCCAATTTTTCGTAACTTGATTTGCCTCCTTTGATAAGATCTGACAAAATTGCTGTTCTCAATAATCCTTTAGGTCCAAAGTAGTGTTCGACTAATTTGTCTAAGTTTTCTTGTCTGGTTTCGATTTCCAAAAAGTTAAAGCTGTGACCGAAAATTTCAGCAGTTAAATTTAAGCTGGATGATCTTGGCAGCCATGAGTTTTGCGAATAGATTACATTGGCTTCAGAAGAAGCTCCAAGTCCCAAAGTATCGATTGCGTATGAGAAATCGCCACTGAATGAGTATTTACGCGGGTCAATAGGGAAAGACCTTCTGACGCTAAAGCCAAGGAATTGTTTGGCTAAAGCTTTGTCTGGATTAGCTGATGATCTCAAAGCGTGAATGTGTGAGGTAATGAATCCACCAACTTGAATACTAGGTTCTTTGGCCAATAAAGTTTTGACAGCGTTGCCAACTTTAGCATTTGGACATTGGGCTACCGCCAAGTAAGCCTTGATTCTGACTTCAGAATCTTGTTGGATGTCTTGGAGAATTTGCAAAGCGCTGTTTCTGAGTTTGTCCTTGCAGGCGTCAGCTAAGAAGGCTTCTAAGGCGGCAACTCGCACTCTGTTAGGAAGGTTCTTGTTTTGGGCAACGCTGATCAGTTTCGGGATGACGTTATCGTTGAAATGACGGAAGTTGGCCAAGGCTTTCAAAGCGAAAATGGCATCGTTTTCTTGGTCTTTGTCGGCTAGCTTGGCACCGATTTTTGATAAAAGTTTATTGGTCAATGCTTTGATTTCGGCATTGTTTTCGCAGTCGTGCTGTTGGCAGAAACGACCGGCAAGGTTGCCGATACCCAAGTAGGCTTCACGGGGGAGTTTAGGTGTGTCCAGAAGACGCTGAAAAATGGTAATTTTGAATTTATTAATTGTCACAAAAAAACAAGTTTTGCACTTGCAATTTCTAAGTAGTTTTGTAGGGTAGTTTTAATGTAGTCTTACCACAACTGATTTTAGTGATCCTTCGGTGGCATGACGTACAATATTCAAGCCAATCAAAGCCAATTTGCTATCGATTTCATTTAATTGTTTCTTGTCTAAGAGTTCCAATAGGGCTTCGACGCTGTCGCCGTTTCCAGCACTGAGCAAAGCATCTAAGTAAACACGTTTAGCGGTTTCTTTATCACCAACACCTAGAAAATCAATATTTCATTAACATGGGTATTATAATGAGCATTTTTTGAGACTTACCAACTCCACTTTGTACTTGATTATAAGCTGCCAACATATCATTTTTCTTAGCAACCCTTACGATTTTCAAGAGATTACTGAATTCCTTAGCAGTTCCTTCACCAACTACAACATCGATGGTCTGCACAACATCTTTGACTGCACCAACAATACTTTGCAAGTCACTGGTAGCAGCTACAACTGGATGAGGATTTTCAAAAATAATAGATCTTGGTTCTTTAACGTTTGCGCCGTTAGCGGCTTCTTTGGAAGTTCCAATGAATTGCAATTTGCTGACTACTTGAGCTTTGGCTCCATTTTTCCCAACAGAGAAAGGAACATACAAGTAGTCTTCGGTGACTGTGGCTTGGTCCAGGATACCATTTTTGATTTTCAAAAGGCTGTTGTAATCTCCGTTCAACAGTGGGCTAGATTTAATTTCACTGTCTAGGTTCAATGCGGTAGAAAGGAAGTCTTGTTGAATGTGCTCTCTGTATGAGCATTTGTTGAGGCTTCTGGATTTTTGGATAACAACAATGTTGCCTTCTTTGTGAGACGAGAATTCAGTGGGACATCTTCCAAATATGTCAGTTTCGTAAGATGACTTGGTAGCGGCTTGGAACAGCGAAGCAATAGCTCTTTTGATGTTGATAGAGTTCTGATTGTCACCATCAACCACGCAAATTCTGTCATTGAGAATTCCGTCTTGATTATTGATGCGGATCGGTTTCTCGATGTCAGGAATGGAAGCGTGTTTTTTTCCTGATCCCAAAATTTGGACATTTTGTAGTTTGAGCAATTGTCTGCAGTCGGGCTCTTGAATTAGGACGACTTCGGCTTTGACTTCGGTGCTTGTCGATTGGCCTTCGGCTGACGATAATGAAATGTCGATTTTGCCATCGTAATTGTATTTGTACGCTGTACCCGGTGTGAATTTGAATGTTTGAGGGGCTCCTGATTTACATCCTGAAGGACAGACTTCTGGAAAAATAAAAAGAAGGACTTCGTACAAAGGGATTTTGATCTCTATAGAAAATAACATATCCATTTCCGTGGAAAAAAATACTTACTGTACTACTGTATAATAATTCAAGGTGCGAGAAATTACCCTATAAATTATAGTTTTATGGGTATTTAACAATTAAAAAACAATTTTCTTTCTTTGATTTATTCGTTATTGGAATCCTAATAGGATTTCTATTGTTTTATCCCAAATATAGCGACAAGACACTCATTCATATAACACATCATTGATACCTTTTACACTTAGCTGCAACGCTTTTACCCTATTAAGTTCAGTTGGGAAACGGTCATTATTTCAATTATTTTAAGTGGATAATGGCTTTTGACTTTATACACATACAAACGTTTTATTTATATTATATCGAGACGAACAAAGAATTAAACCTTCGGATTTTTTTTTTATACATAAAATAAGTCCTCATTATCATATTTTATTGCAAAGAAAACTCATATTCCATTTCATAAGTAACAATTGCAAGATTTCCAAAAACAAAAATCGAATAGATTAATCAACATTTGTAAGTGATTAGAAACGGATCCTCTTTTCCAGCCAGTTTTTTTCCATAATCCCAAAAGTATTTCAAAAACAATATATTTGCAAAATTAACAATTTCTTATCGGAGCAACAAAAGGTCAAGATGTTGATATTTACTCTTCGCTTCAATAAGTCTATCCAAGCAAAATATAAAGTTATTCTCGGAACTGACCAGTTGATTAAATGATTTTTTATTTCTTTGCTGATAATGATTATTGTTGACTGGGCGCCTTGAACTTGCTGCTATGCTACAAAGGGTCACAAGATATTTAAAAAAAAAATTGATAAAGTAATCTTTTATATGGGAAATCACCTAAGAAGAGTCATTAACTTGGCAAGTAAGTTACAAATATTTGATGAAACTAAATCATATTTAGCAATTTTCAACTCCAAATCAAAAATAATCAGCTCCCTTAATGTACCAGGTCGATTTTTGGGATGTACCTACAATTTCATTTTAAATAATTGATAATTTATTATCTTGTGCCAGACAATTGCGCAAAACTAAGAAGTGACTTAATTATCTTACAAATTACATAAGTTTTAACTAAAACGTTGATTCACATTTTTTTTTCAAATAAATTTGCCTACTTTTCAAAAAAATTATCAATTTGCAAAATAATCCATTCAAGATTGGGAAATATACGCAAAAATAGCATTAATAAACTCGTGTCCGAGATAAAAACCATTTAACATAAACAATTATTTTTTTTATTTCTTGTGGTAAACATTGGGTCGCGACTTTTGTATAAGAATTCTTTTAATTTAAAACAATCCGATAAGAAATAATGAGAAAATCAATCTTTTATTTGTTTCATGCAACTGATACTTTTGCATTGATGGATTTGATTGCGGTTTTTGAACTGCATCTCTTCATTTTAATGAAATTGATAGCAGGAGTACTAAAAATAGTGAGGCAGATAAGAAACGGGCCGGTTTTATAGAGCAGGAAGATTTGAATTGAAAAATTCCCACAGTAGCAACTCCAACCACGAAAACTGACAGTTCTGTATCAGGGATTAGGAACGTGAAACACTCACAGGGGAATTTCAGCTCATTTGGACAAATGTGATAATGAATTCAGTATTTGGATTAAGAGAAAGGGACAACATCTGGAAATTTTCATAATAACAAAAATTTTACTCATTTTACTGACCATTTACCAAACAACATGATACCTACTATTCGTACCTGCGTCTATACAAATGGTACATAAATGTACCTAAATGAAGTCATAAAACTGTGAAGAAAGTTTGGACCTTTTTTGGCCCTTTCAGATTATGGAGCTTAAATTTATTCCCAATGTGTTCTCGTGGGGAAATGCTTGAAAGTTCACCTTTCTCCCTGATATTCAAGTGTACAGGGTGATCTATTATAAATGTCATCCCCTTCTAACTTTTTTACTTGACGTTTAAGACAGAAGTGTCAAATACAAAAGTTTCAAGAAATTGTCGAAAATTTTGAGCTAAGTCAGTTTCAAGCATACAGGACAGGGTGCGTCAAAAAAGTACGAAGTTGTATTTTTTTTAAATGGAGCACCATATACAGGGTGAGTTACTAAGCGCGCGGTGGTCCATATCTCCTATATTAACGGAGATCGGAGGAAAAACTAAATACAAAGCTTGTAGATAAACATGAGTACCTAAATTATTTTTCAGTATACAGGGTGGCCAAATAACTAGTAGTGACACAAAGTTATGTTTTCCCCCTGTAAGTATATTATTACATTTCTGGATTCTGCGGAAAATTCTAGACATATTTCATGTACCTATAATGTCATATAGGTACCTATCTTCAACTGTTTCGAAAAATTGACAGTTGAAAATTAATTTTTTTGCATCTTTGACAGACTGTGAAACCTAAACGGTTAATTTCAGACGAAAACGGATTTGTCATCTTAGATTTTCGTAAGTTTTCATTTGACACCAACTTTGAATTTTACCGAAGGTTAATAATTTAGACGGAATTTTTAATCATAGATTAATTTCAAGATTGGTGCCAAATGATAGTTTATGAAAAACTAAGATAAAATCTGTTTTTTTTAAAGATAAAAGTCAAACTGACATTATGTTGGCAATACAATGTAAAATTGTCAATGCTTTCAAATTTTTTATGTAGAAAAGGCTGGTGTTGCCCACATAGTTACTAAATTTTTGACTTGGGGAATTACCTATCTTTAAAAAAAAAAACAGACTTTAGGAATGTAAAATCCATTTTCTTGTAAAATTAACCGTTCAGGTTTTACAGTTTGTCAAAGATGCAAAAACGTCAGTTTTCAACTGTCAATATTTCCGAAACAGTTGAAGATAGCAGGTATATGACATTGTACATGAAATATGTCTAGAATTTTCCGCAGAATCTATAAATGTCATAGTATACAGGGAGAGTCATTTAAAAAATTATAAATTTGTGTCACTACTAGTTATTGGGCCACTCTGTAGTATACTGGAAAATAATTTAGGAATTTAGTACTCATGGTACAACCTGGATAATAGAATTACAAAATGAAGTGGATAAGAGGAAAATCATGGAAAATAAAACAAAACTAAAGGACATGAGAGGAGAAAGAGTTTTTATAAATGATGATATGACCAAGCAGGAAAGGGAAAAACAAAAAGAAATAAGAATATTTGCAAATCAGGAAAGGCAAAAAGGCAAAGAAGTAAAGATAGGATTCAATAAGGTAACGGTAAATGCAGAGGAGTGGAGATGGGATAAAGAAATAAATAAATTAAAAAAGACAGGAAAAACCTTATCAAAAAACTGAATAGCCAAACGAACAATACAAGGAATGGGGAAAACAACACAGCAATGGAATGGACTATAAATAAGGAAGTTAGTGATAACAAGAAAACTGAGGAAATATGTAAAATGGGTACGTGGAATATTAGAGGTATATTCGGGAAAGAAAAAGAACTAGCAGAATTCGAAAACACAGACTTGAAACTGCTAGCCATAACAGAAACAAAGAAGAAGGGATGATAAATATGGATAATGGCCACATACTTGTGTACAGTGGAATTAAGAAAGAAGAAAGAGCAGCAGCGGGTGTTGCATGCATAATTCACAAAGACATAAAAGAGAAAATGAGCAAGTGGAAAGGTTGGTCAGAACGATTATTAGTGTTGGAACTTAAAGATAAGAATAAAAGCATAAGAACTATTATAGTTGTGTATGGACCCAATGAAGACGATTCAATAGGTAATAAAGATAAATTTTGGGAAGATTTAACCATAGCTACAGAAGATGCAAAAGGAATAGTATATTCGAGCATATCATGATGGCTATTATTCACGAGAATGAAAATTCAAACACGAGCCGAAGGTGAGTGTTGGAATCATTCGAGTGAATAATAGCCATTATTTGCGAGTAGAAGACTATACTTTCTCTTCGAACTTTTTGGAAGAAAATTATTAGTTTTTGTGAGAAATAACAATCATCAAAAGTCTAAACCCACCTTAATTTTTTTGAATTGAAAGTTTTGTTAGCTGACAGTAGATGTCAGTCATGTTTTGTTTGTATTGTCTCGTTGCGGCCCGTGTATTCCGAAAATACGGAGAATTTGATTGGTCGACAGGTCGTGGATTCCGGTTTGGAATTCACGGGGCGTGTAGAATTTCTATCATTAATCAGTTTAATATCAAGTAAGAATGAATGTATTATTCAATGTTCGAAGAGAAAAATAATTATACTTGGAGATTTTAACAGCAGCGTGGGAATAAAAGATGGCACATATAATACAGTAATAGGAAAACATGGCGAAAAGGTTAGGAATAATAATGGAGAAAGACTGCTTGATTTTTGTGTGCTACATAACTTTATTGTAACTAATACATTTTTCGAACAAAAAGAGATACATAAATATACACGAGAGATGAAAAGCAGAAATGAGAAGTCGATAATTAATAGATTATGTATTAGGTAGTAGAAAAGAATAATAGAAAGGAAGTTTTGGATACCAAGGTTAGAAGAGGACCGGAAATAGGTAGTGACCACTTTTTACTTGTCACAAAATGTAGAGAGCCAGTAGAGAATATAAAACATGATTATCAAAAGAAAAAAAATAGAAAATGAATCAGTGAAATCATACAAACTACAAAATAAAGAAATAGCAGAGAGATACAAGAAAACATTAACAGAAAGATTCTCTAATGATACATGCATAAATGAGAATACTAATGTAGAAGACATGTGGAAGTATTTTAAGAAAATAGTTATGGAGACAACAAAAGAAATATGTGGCACTAGTAAGAAAACTAATAAGAAAAAACAAACAGCATGGTGGACAGAAGAAATAAAGAGACAAGTAAAAATTAAAAAAAAAGCATTGAAGATTTATATAAATAATAGAACAACTCAAAATTATGAAAGGAACAAAGAGAGTAGAAAAACAGTAAAAGATATGGTAGCAGTGGCAAAACGA